CCCCAAAACCCCAAAACCCCAAAACCCCTTAAAAGAGCATCAGAGTCTGATTAAAGAGCTAAAAAATAAAAAAAAAAGTTACTTAAATTTATATTTTTATTTAGAATGGCTTAAGTACAAAGAGCCTCAACCACGGCAGTTGAGATTCCATTCGACTTGAACAAGATTTTCAGCTTGACCTATGAGTTCTAGCCCCTCAAAGAAGTTTTAGAGTATATATTCGGGCAACTTAAAAAGAATGAGGACAGGATCCATCAGGTCGATACCAAGCTTGTTTCAAAACTTTTAATGCTTGATAAGTAAGTTCGCATTTCTTAATTCTTTCTTCGAATAACTTTAAAATTGCTTTCTTCTGAATATTAATGGAATTTTAGGTTAAAAAATGATGGTGAAGACTTTAAAACTTAATTTAAGCAGATTAGAGTAAGGATTTCAAGCAATATATTTTTATACAAGTCAAATAATATAATCTCCATAGGATATTTGCAAAGAACTGGAACAAAAGAGTGTCAACGTAGATCAAGATGTATTCACTATGAAAACTGACATAGAAGCTTGCAAGATGAATCTATCACTTTTGATCAGATAAATGAGTTCCATTCCGGGTCGAGTTTATGAAGGTAATTATAAATCCAAACTTCTACCTATTTTAATATTTACACTATATAATAGTCGAGGATAAATTAGACGAATTCAGCAAAAGAATGGATGAAATGAACAAGAAGATTGAAGAAAATAGCAGCAATGCTGCTGTAAGTTAAGTCGTTTCTGATGGTGGTTTTGATATTAATGCTTTGACCAATCTTTTGAAAGAATACTTTAAGAAAAGCGAGGGTGAAAGTTTGATATCAAGAGTTGAAAAGCTTGAAAAAGAGCAAAAAAGTCTCTAAGATAGTTAAGAGGCTACTGATAATAAATTGACTAGACAAACTAAAAAACATAAGAAATGGAGACCAAAGTGGGTTTAAATGCAGAAAGATATTGAAGACCTTAAAAAATTACTCAAAGATAAGGTTGATAATTCATTTTTCTAAGAAGAATTTGACAAATTGAAAAATCTAATTAATTAACTTGCTTCCTCTGGTAAAGATATTTAGCTGCCATTGATTCCAACTGGTCCCCAACTTTCTTCAAAAGAAATAGCGGAGTTAAAGGAACTTATCCAAAAAGTTGAAAAGCTGGAGGATAAGACTAAGAACCTTGATGTAGAAAAGATAATGAGTTCTATCCATTTACTCTAAGTGGAAGTTTCAGAAAAAGCTGATAAAAACAAAACTGAAAAGGATATTAAGGATATTTACGCTAAATTGGAGCAGATGCATAAGGATATGATAAAATTCCAAGAGAGCTTGAAAGAATGCATTAGCAAACTAGCCTTTTTAGAATAAAATTCTAATAGAGATACTGGTTCCAAAGTTGTCCAAAGTGTGGGAGTATCTGAACAGGAATTTAAGAAACTAGTTGATAGAGTCGATAAACTTGAGTAACTTCTTCAAGAATACTTGAAGTCATCTAAGACTGTTGAAATGGCATCATCTGATAATATTAGTGATTAGGCTCTAAAAGACATAATGAGCAAGCTTCAGGATTTACAAAAACAAATTGAAAATTTAAGAAACGAATTCTCTAAATGGATAAAGGAAATGCAAGATGGCCTAAACAAGAAAGCAGATATTGATGCATTAAATAACTTAGAAAAGTTGATTCTAGAAAAGATTAATGAAGTGGTAAGAGCATTTACTAAATAGTTTGCTGATAAAAATGATACCAAGAAAGCAATCAAACTTCTTGAAAGATAGATTAAGAATCTATTTGACATAATCATGCAAAATAATGCTGGTTAGAGTCATCATGATCATGAAGACGATGCAATGTTTACTAAGAAGCCTTTAGGAGGAATGTCATGCGCTTCTTGTGAAAAAGACATTATCAATCTCCAAGGGAAGAAAGTTAACTATTACCCATGGAGTAAATTGCCTAATAGAGATCCTTCAGAAAGAATTGCAAGAGTAAGAATAAAATCTTTAAAATGAGTTATAATTCTTAGGTTGGACAAGGATTTTCGAAGATGTTGTCAATGATTAATCCTGATGTTTTGAATAAGCAATAAGAAAACCCCTCAAATTCAAAGAACAGATATAAGACAATCATAAATGCCAACAGAGCAACAAACTAGCTCTATTCTAGTCAAGGAATGAGAGGAGTGAAGAATTTCAATCATCTATCTTAGGAAAACTTTTATCAGCATGACGAAGGTCAAGATTCTATGCCTGATATGGGCTAATTGAAGCCAACAATCGCTGCTGATGGAACTATTGGCATGAAGACTACCACTAATTTTTACAAATCCCAGAATATTGAGGATTTATCAAAAAGACCAGGAAGTGCTAGTTTGATTCCGAAACCAAAGATTGTAAGATAACTAAATTTGTCTTAATAATTATCTAGACAAACAAATTTATTAAGAATCAAAATTCTTCTGGAAAGAAGAATAACAATAACTAATGACCACATAAATGATTATATTTAGCTTCTAACTAAGCATCCGCACACTCTATAAGATTTTGCTCTACTTTAAGATTTATTATCTCTAAATTCTTGTACTGATTCTAGCATGCAGGGGGTTTTGGGGTTT